TGCACGAAGGAAGGAAGCAAGGCGCTACAGAATCTAGCAGCCGGTAGGTTAAGCTGCCATTTCAGGACAGCACAGGTGGCTGTTTGGCAGATGATATGTAATACACTGCTATGAACATTGATATGCCTGTTTCTTTGGTAATATTCTGAGGTAAACATAATAAAGATAGGCTCCATGCAGCTTTTGTGATAATTACACTTAAACTGTATATCAAATTGAATTTCTTTTTAAGATATAATGACTTTTTTATGCTCTCATCTAAATGTGTTTATAATGATTTTCCTCTAAGTCAAGAGTTCCTTCTCAGCTATGAGTTATCTCAATTTTTCTGAGGGTTGCATAATTGTTTTGGGCATTTTAACCAGAATTTTGATTATAACAAGTAATTTTTGTTAGCTATGTTCAAGAGTGGGCCTGAAAAAAGGAAAGATAATTTTCTTTTAGTCATGTTTTGGCCAGATTTAACATTCTATTTAACAATATATTTTTAAGAAAGGTGTAGTATGCTAACCATAGAGGTACATATAGTAACGATATAAAATGTCATTTTTTTGTCCACGTTCACTCAAATGTTTCCTATTTGCTTAGTGGTAACCATTATAATGATTCAGCCAACAAGTGTTTGTGGCACACCTCAGCAGTCAGCCTATGTTGAGGACTATTGAAAGAACAGTGCTTAGAAATAGTGCTTCTAAGTGTGTCACTGTGTAACACCAGGAGGGCAGCATCAGATATCAACATCCTGTAAATTTTTTTTCAGTTTTCTATAATTTCTGTGAACAAGCCTCCTTCCTATGTACAGAAGTATAAAAGGTGTTTCTGCTTATCTGCCATTAACGAAAATGGCTGCATTCTTACGTAGAAGTAAACAGTGATATTTAAAATGTATTAAGATTGCATTACAATGCTATTTATTCTATGCTGAAATTAACCTAAGCACGGGTATCTCAGTTCCCATCCTAGCAGATTAAATTACAGAAGCACCTTACAAGAGTCCTTCATAAATTCATTCAAAAAGTAATTGTCACATGCCAGGCAATCATTTGTTCATTTGTTCATCCTTTTAATGAAGCCATTTGTTGAGCATCTACACTTCCCAGTGCTCTGAGCTTAGGATATCAGGGAAGAAACAGGAGCAATACCTGCTCTCTAGGAGTCCGTAGTCTCATGGAAGAAATAAATAAGCAGATAATTATAACAAGGGACACCTAATTGAAACAGGTTGTAGTAGAGTTGGCATTGAGTAGAGTCTTAAAAGGAATCAGGCATATTGCACCAGATAAAAAGCAAGAAAAGCACAAAGAAAAGGGTTGCAGGCACAGAGAGCAGCATGTGTAAAGGCACAGACAAATGAAAGCATGTCACATGCATGAGCTGCAGGCACTCTGACATGGGTAGAACATGGAGCGTGAGAAAGCCAATGTGCAGAGTTGGGGGGCCTTGTTGGACATTCTGAGGAATTTGGTGTCAGGTTGAAGGACACCTGGGAGCGGGCTGACAGACTGAAGCTGGAGTGTGAGCGGATGGTGTAAACCACACTGAGAAACCATCCTGACAGCATATGAGGAGTGTATCGTGGGAAGCAAGACCAAAAGCAAAGTTCCGGTGCAGCCCGAGTCCTCCACGGGAAATGGGATGCAGGTCAGTGCAGGCTAGGGGAGCTTGATGGAAGAGAACCGGCTGCAGTGAATCAGACTCTGTCACAGGAGCCTTGGGGAGCAAACAGGCCTGGGCAGAGGGGAGGCACAGGAGTATCATCTCTAAGAAGGTCTGTGTTACAGCCTCCAGCATTATCTTCATAAGTAAATAGTTACCCTACTAAACTCATTCATGATTTGATAATTTAGAGAGTGAGCTGTTTTATATCTGTAGAACAAGTTTTTACCAATTTCCTAAAATTCGGTATTGCTGCAGAATGCCTTTAATCCTTGACCAAAGGCATTTTCTGACCCCTGAATTTGTTTCTTTCAACTACTTGCATCCTATATTACTCACACATATTAGCCCTTTATTTCATGTCTCATCAGTGTTCAGTAGATTGTATATATCCTCATTTGTTGTCCTGCTATGCTGATGTGTACTGACTGTGCTGGTAGCATGTGCCATTATTACCAGTATTATCAGTTTTTCATTAAACTCTGATTGACTGTTGATGTAACAATTTTTTATAATTGAAAAAAAAAAAGGCAAAAAAGAGATGACCATTTTCTCTAATATTGATGTTTAGGTTAAGTAAATTAATGTACATCTACAAGAAGTAGTATGGGGCTATTTAAGGTGGTGGTGTATTAGGGTATTCAGGCTGCTGTAACAACATACCTTAGACGGGATAATTTATTAACAAGAGAAATGTCCTGCTCACAGTTCCAGAGGCTGGGAAGTCCAAGATGAAGGTGCCAGGAGATTTGGTCTGATGAGGCCCCATTTCTCATAGATAGTGCCTTCCATGTCTCCTTGTCTAGTGGAAGAGTGAACAAGCTTACTGGGCCTGCTTTAGAAGGCCACTAATCCCATTCATGAGGACAAAGCCCTTATGACCAAATCTTCTCCCAAAGGCCCCATTTTTTTTTTTTTTTTTTTGAGATGGGGTCTCACTCCGTCATCAGGCTGGAGTGCAGTGGCGTGATCTCGGCTCACTGCAGCCTCCACCTCCCAGGTTCAAGTGATTCTCCTGCCTCAGCCTCCTGAGTAGCTGAGACTATAGGTGTGCGCCACCATGCCCAGCTGATTTTTGTATTTTTAATAGAGACAGGGTTTCACCATGTTGGCCAGCATGATTTTGATCTGTTGACCTCGTGATCTGCCCACCAGCCCCACTTCTTAATACTATCACATTGGGGATTAAGTTTCAGCATGTGATGAAAATTTGTTGTGGGACACACATTGAGACTGTAGCAGAAGGGACTGAAGATGGGGAAAATGGTTGCAGTAGAGTGACAGAAGAGTAAATGAAATGTAATGAAATTGCACCTACATTTGAGATTTTTAAGGCTTTTTAAAACAAATATAAATAAGGCTATATGGGGGGGAAAAACAGAATGCTAACCTGGTTGTGTTAGGCTGGTAGATTTAAGGGTATATTTTCTGAGCTTTTCTTTTTGCACAGATTTTTGTGGATAATGTGGTTATAATGCTCTCAAATTATGATTATTTAGAATGACAGTGTATTTTTTTTCATTGCTACTATTTGGAAGCAAGAGTATGAAACATTTTGTGTGAAAGCATTGTGTTGTTTGAAGTCTGCTGAAAATATATTTTGCCAAAAATACAGGTTTTTATTTTGCCCAATCTCTACACTTCCACAATCCATACTAGATTTAAATTCTTTGAGAATTTTTCCAAATAAAAGGAAGATTTTGTTTACCTCTTTTTTTTTTTTTGAGATGGAATCTCGCCTTGTCGCACAGGCTGGAGTACAGTGGAGTAATTTCAGCTCACTGCAACCTCCGCCTCCCAGGTTCAAGCCATTCTCCTGCCTCAGCCTCCTGAGTAGCTGGCATTACAGGCATGCGCCACCATACCCAACTAATTTTGTATTTTTAGTAGAGACAGGGTTTCACCATGTTGGTCAGCCTGTTCTGGAACTCTTGATTTTGTGATCCTCCCGCCTCAGACTCCCAAGGTGCTGGGATTACAGGCATGAGCCACTGCCCCTGGCACGATCATGAAGTTCTTGTGTATAATCTCCCCCTCGCCTTTTTTTTTTTAAAGGGCCAAAGAGGGAACAAAATAATTTCCCTTTTGATCATTTTCGTAAGCACTTTTGAAACTTATAATAATGTACTAATTCAGCCAGATAATTGCATGCTCTCCACCCCATGCTACTGAACTATGGGGTCTGCATTTTCATATCTAAAGTGCTGACCACTCCTTTTCTCTTGTGTATAGTGAGCCTTCTCTACCTAGGTTCCCTGCTACCTGACCACAAGGGCAGGCCCTCTTTTGCAGTGTACCTTATTTAAGCTTTATATCAGTATTGTGAGAAAGGAGGCATCGTTTCCACTTACAGGTAAAATATGATTTTTTTTTTAATCAACATGACCCTTTTGTGATTTTTCTTTCAAGTTAAATCAGGCAGGACCTGTTGTAGAGTGCAGATGTTGATGCCTTGACACTAGCTTCCATACTTGACTCAACCTCTTTTTTTGACATAGAATAGGCGGGCTTACCTGTTAGTCTAGTTTTTGCTAATTTCTTATTCAGCTCCTTTTGAAATATCTTCTCATTACCTGCCTTTTCCTCATTTGCATGTTCTTTTCTTTGTGGTGTTTTGTTGTTGTTTTGTTTGTTTGTTTGTTTTTTGTTTTTTTGAGACAGGGTCTTGCTCTTTCTCCCAGGCTAGAGTGCAGTGGTGTGGTCTCTGCTCACTGCAACCTGCGCCTCTCGAATTCAAGTGATTCTCATGCCTTAGCCACCTGAGTAGCGGGGATTACAGGCGTGTGCAATGACACCTGGCTGATTTTTGTATTTTTAGTAGAGATGGGGTTTCACCTTGTTGACTAGGCTGATCTCAAACTCCTGACCTCAAGTGATCCACCTGCCTCAGCTTCCCAAAGTGCTGGGATTACAAGCGTGAACCACTGTACCCAGCCTTCTTTGTTTTTCATTTTGTTTTAAGAAGTTCCTTTAAAGTTCATTTTAGTGCTTGGGCTATAGTTCTCATGACACAGAGGTTTTGTGAGCAGTAAGAAAACCTCCTATTAGAATTTTTTAGTTAATGCTTAATTTTAAATGCAGAGATAACAAGTGGAAAATATAGGAAGAATAAAGAACATGGATTTTCTGTGTTATTCAAAGAAAGTAAGAAAATTGTATTTCATTTAGCAAAATCTGTTTTAAATGTTTATGGCAAAGTAACAGACAAGCCTCCTTTTCTGCATTTGTCTAGTATATTATAATGAATGGTCAGACTGATGTGCATGCAAAGGGTAGGAGTATAGAACTCCCTGAAGAACTTCTCTAGACCATCTCTTTCTTGTTTGCGCTTGTTCCTTTTTCAGTGTGTGGACCTGAGCTGTAATGAGCTAAGCGAAGTCACATTACCAGAAAACCTGCCTCCCAAACTACAGGAGCTAGACCTGACTGGAAACCCTCGCCTTTTCCTTGATCACAAAACCCTGGAACTACTGAAGTAAGTATTCTGTAAAGCACTGTACCCCCACTGTTTTCCACTGGCAATGGGATTCATGTCTTAGTGAAAACAGGAAACAAAATACGAAGTATCATTGACTTGTTAGCTGTGTTAACACATGTAACAGGATATGCAAGATGCAGGGAAGCACTGAACAACCAAGATGTAACTTACATCTCAGTAGTCACTGATAACATGGTTATGACTCTTAATGCAAACGTTAAGAAAGGATTTTAAAAGAGATGGACAATGTAGGAAAAATCATCAGTGTGGTGCTAAAATCCAGGTTATTTAAATAAAACTGGGAATGTGGAGTGGTTAGATCCTGCCTGTAGGTAGACCTTCACAGTTTGGGAAAAAGTTCATTGATGCTATTTCAGTCCCAATATTGATAATTAGTGGTTGGAGTTTGCTATGTAAAACCTTAAAGGTTACTGCAGTAGGAAAGATGTCTTAATGATAGTGTTCACCATAGAACTCTAAATGTCTATTAAGAAGAATTAAATAAATTATCCTCCACAATTGAATATTATAGAGCCATTTAAAATTATTATTTAGAGCTATATTGCTAACTCAGAAATCTTTACAGTATATTATTAAGTGAAAATATTAATAACATTTACAAAGAAGTTTTATAGTATAATTCAATTTTTGCAATATAAATGTGTGTGCATTGGATATATGTGCATGTGTACGCATACATATACCTAGAAAATGCCTGAAAGAATGTATAACAGAACTTAAAATGGTGTTATTCTCTGGATAATAGTATTATGGGTAGTGTTTATTTTCTTCTTTAAGCTTTTCTGAATTTCCAGAATTTTTTTGCGATGTATCAGTAGTAGTTTTAGACATTAGCATACATTGGTCATTATGCATGTCATATGTGTTTATACAAAGTTGAATTATTTGTTACTGAAAGTCATCTTCCATTATCTTAGGAAAATCAGAAAAGAACAGTAGAATTTTGGTGAATGGTACGTTAATACTATCCTAGGCTAATAGTGCAAACCAAAGTTTGAAAAGCACTTAAAGTGATTGCTGGATAGAATTGGCCTAATTACTGCCTAATTTATTAGCATTTTAAGTACCTGATGAGAAAATTAATTTTGATACATAGTTGAAAAACGCTGCCTGAGTGTCCTGAGGAAGGAAGAGAGACCTAAGTTCTCTACACTATTGATTGAGTCCCTCCATCTGTCCAGACATATAAGATGAGAACAAAATGGCCTACATGATCTTTAAGGTACTTTTTAAGATCAAGAAAACATCGGTTATCAAAATAGATCATCTTTAAACAGATAGCTTTTGAGCATTTTGCACAAGTAGGATGCAAAGTTTTTGAGCATTTTTTACAAATAAAATTTCAAAATAATTGCACCAAGATTTGTTAATAAATGGAAGTAGCCACTTGGAGAAAAATTAAAGTTGTATTCTTATCTCACACCAAAATAAATTCCAGCTGAAATAGTTGAATCTGTAAAACTATTTTTAAAAGTAATAAGAAATCATGTGAATATCTTCACAAGTTAGAAAAGGACTTTTTAGGCCAAGAAATGAAGAGAATCAGTCACAAGAAAAGAAATTAGTACATGTAGATTGGTTTTGATATTTATGTTGTATAGGTTTATGCATATGTTTTTTATACATAAAAGTGTTAAATGTCTATTTCAAAAATTCTCAAGAGTAGATATAAATGGCAAATGACAAAATAGGAAGAAAAATAAAAGCATTAATATTCTTACTAGAAAGTGTTTTTGGTTTTTTTTTTTTTTTTTTTTTTTTTTTTTTTTTTTTTTTTTTTTTTTTTTTTTTTTTTGAGACAGTTTTGCTCTTGCAGCCAAGCTGGAGTGCAGTGGCGCGATCTCGGCTTACTGTAACCTCCGCCTCCCATATTAAAGCAATTCTCCTGCCCCAGCCTCCAGAGTAGGTGGGATTACAGGCAGCTGCCACAATACCCAGCTAATTTTTGTGCTTTTAGTTGAAACAGGGTTTCACCATGTTGGCCAGGCTGGTTTTGAACTCCCAACCTCAGGTGATCTGCCCACCTCGGCCTCCCATAGTACTGGGATTACAGGCGTGAGTACCGTGCCTGGCTAGAAAGTGTTCTTATAAGACAATAAGAAAAGCACTCAAACAAAATAAACCAAGGACATTAACATTTAACAAAAGCAGTACAAATAGTTACATGAAAAGATATTCAAACTTATTAGCGTATCAAACAAATACAGAATAAAATGCTTGAATAACATTTTCCCCCTCAGATTGGTGCTACTGAAAAAGTGTAATTTGGTATTACACTCTTGTTAAAAAGCAATTGGCCTACTGTATCAAGCTTTTAAAAATATTCACGTACTCAGCCCAAAGTTTCCTATAGCAAAAAAATAATAATTCTCTTAAAATGTTACCTTCTGTTTAACATCTGGAAGGTTGTGGATTCTTAATTACTTGGAAGATTTTCCATCTATTATTTGCACTTTTAGAGGGGTTGGCTTATTTATTCTTTGTGAGCCAGGGAGGTGCATATGAGGACCCTTCTGTGGGATTGAGCTCTGGTTCACAGAACTCTGACTCATTTAAAGATATACAAGATGGCCGGGCGCAGTGGCTCATGCCTGTAATCCCAGCACTTTGGGAGGCCAAGGTGGGTGGATCACCTGAGGTCAGGAGTTTGAGACCAGCCTGACCAACATGGTGAAACCCTGTCTCTACTAAATACAAAAAAATGAGCTGGGCGAGGTGGTGCATGCCTGTAATCCCAGCTACTTGGGAGCCTGGGAGGAGGAGGTTGCAGTGAGCCAAGATTGCACCATCGCACTCCAGTCTGGGCAACAAGAGTGAAACTCCATCTCAAAAAATAAAAAATAAAGATACACAAGAATCAGCATTCAGATCACTTCAGATAGCTGCTGAGCCACAGTATGTTCAGCCAGGCAGAGAAGAGAAATTGCTGCTTCACTAGAAAGAATTATTTGTGTGTTGGAGAGAGGGGGTGGTTAAGAGTTATTTCTTTCCTTTAATAATCAGGCTAGGAAATGGAATTATTTCTCTGAAGACTTTGTGTTCTGTAAAAATTATAAATGTCTTTAGAAATGAGCCTTTACTTTTCCCTAGACTTCAGGACATATCTAAGAGCCTTAGGGCATGTCTTAAAAAACCTATTATATTGCTTACTGTTTCAGGTGGATAAAATTGAGTACCAGGTCATATGGAGAGCAAATAATGGAGGACTGTCTTTTTTTGTTTTTGTTAATGCCTCTTATATTGATAGAATTGAAAACTTAGAAAAAAAGAGTTAGCTCTAGCCTTATTAATAAGTTAATACAAGGTATTAACTTGATTGGGGGATTTTCTATTGACACTGTTTTTCAGGATAAGAGGAAAAGTAAATGTTTGCTAGTAATTGAGAGTAGAAACTTTTCTTTAACCATTTATTTTTAAATTTCAGAAAAATTGCCACCAGTTATTTCTGGAGTCAAAGGGAATACTAGTTAGATACTGATTTACTTCTTAAAGTTTTCACTTGTTCTTAGGAAGGATATACAGTATTTGTTGGATTTGGAAGTAATCGGTACCAACAGATAATTTTAATTCTCGGGGTCAAGACAGAAGTATTTAGGTGTTGCTTAAGTTGTCAAGAGATAATACATATACTTTTTCTCTTGTTTAAATAATAACGAGGGGGAAACTTAGTGGCAATTTACAAGTGAGAGGACTTACTTCACCTTGTGGTAGCCAGCCTTTTATAACAGACTACTTCACATCTATTAATTACTTCCTGTGTCGGGGCACAGAGGCTTTCTAGAGGCTGATTTTTAAGAAACCCTATTTGAGCCGGGCGCGGTGGCTCACGCCTGTAATCCCAGCACTTTGGGAGGCCGAGGCGGGTGGATCACAAGGTCAACAGATCGAGGCCATCCTGGTCAACACGGTGAAACCCCGTCTCTACTAAAACTACAAAAAATGAGCTGGGCATGGTGGTGCGTGCCTGTAATCCCAGCTACTCAGGAGGCTGAGGCAGGAGAATTGCCTGAACCCAGGAGGCGGAGGTTACGGTGAGCCGAGATCNGAGGCTGAGGCAGGAGAATTGCCTGAACCCAGGAGGCGGAGGTTACGGTGAGCCGAGATCGCGCCATTGCACTCCAGCCTGGGTAACAAGAGCGAACCTCTGTCTTAAAAAAAAAAAAAAAAAAAAAAAAGAAACCCTATTTGAGAATTTATTCCTTTAGTATTTCTGTTTTGGGTCCTGTTGGATCAGTTATGGCATGTGGGGGCTAAGGTGAGGCGAGAAATCTCCCAGTTTAAATACATACAGTTAACTTGTAATTTATTAAATACCCCTCATTTACTTTGTAATTTTACGTACATGTTTTATTTTATGATGTTAGCATACTTGGCTTATACCTGTGAGGAAAGAATTGGAAGCTCCAGGGAACATCAAGTCCGTGATAATATTTGTCAAATATTTGGAAGGGTTAATGGACAGAAATTGGATTTGGAGATGAATATTGCAGAATTATCTACATCATCTAAACACAGTATAATTGTGGCTTAGGTTTTTTGTTTTTGTTCTTTTCAAGTCAATATTTATTGTGTAAGAAGACACCCATCTTAAGTTTTGTTTTCTCATGCCAAGGCTGAGGACTTTGTCATTCCCAGGAGAGAGCAGTCATCTAATGTGGACCCTGTGAAAGTCTCTAATAGCTGCTTTATGATGCTCATTAAAACTAATTTTCATGCTCTGTATATATGTCCCTTGGTTTTCATTACAATGAGTAGCTGGTTCTTATTGCTGATAAATATTTCGGACACATTGAACACAGTAAGAAATGGTAAGTACAGTGTTTAACAAGTGTATTTTTTATTTTTCAGATAAAGGTAGCAATTTGCACACTTTTGGTTTAATGATTCCTGTTCCCTCCCTGTTTCTCTTGTTAGTAATATCCGCTGTTTCAAGATTGATCAGCCTTCTACAGGAGACGCTTCTGGAGCCCCAGCTGTATGGAGTCATGGTTACACTGAAGCTTCAGGGGTGAAAAACAAGTAAGTGGGATGAAACTTTGGAAGAACTGCCTTCTGCCTGCCTCACTCCTTTAGTCGGGTAGAAAGAAACTCAGTGCTATAGTACACACTTTTCTCATGTAAAATTTATTGGAGTATTCCAAGTTTCCCCAGAGTGAGGCTCCCTCATGACTTATGTTTGAACATTAAGTGAAGGCCTTGCTTGGCATCACATACTCTCCCTTAGTAGGAGACGTTGCTAGGATACAAGGTAACTGACACATTATATTTGTGTAAGACTCCAGTGTTTGCAAAAGGCCTAAGTATTGAAATGCATCCCTGCTCCTTTGAAAAGCCCCTTTATCTTTCTCTGAGGTTTATCAAGCAAAACAGAGATAGTATTAAAGGAGAAGTAGCTTAATTTGTGCATATTCAAGTTCATTCCTGTTATTGACTATGGAGCTGTTTTTACAATCTAAATTAGCTTGGCAGGAGGAGTTTGATGTCCATTGCCTGTAATGTTATCTGCTTGCCTTGCCACCAGGACTTGACCATCTAAGTACCTTTTTCTTCTCCATTTTCACCAACCTTCCCTCTCTTAGATACAGATGTTGATTTTTCCTGAAAAATGTAACCAGGCTTTTCAGGTTTGCTTGTATTGTGTGAAGAGGTGCTAATAATTAGTACCTAGACAGTTAAAGAATCCTATAAATTAGAATGGTCATAACTGAATTAGCTGAAGTATAAGAACACAAAATTATTGCTAGTAAGGTAAAAACAGAAAGTGGAGGTAGATCTAATAATAGCTAACATTAGTATTCAACCCTGGGCACACATTAGAGTCAGTCAGGTAAGGAAATTTTTTAAAAAGTCCCCCAACCTAGACTCATTAAATCAGAATGTTTTAAAATCTCCCCTAGGTGATTCTAATGTGTGGCTAAGCTTGAGAACCACCAACTGTCTAAATACTCTTCATGGAAAATAAAAGGTTTGGAATTGTTGCTGCCATTCTAACTACTTTTCCTTGGAACAGAAAACAGCATCAACTGAAGTTCTAGATTTGATGCATTGGCCTTTTCCCCTTTCCCTAAGGTGTCATTTGTCCTTGTGCTCTCTAGAAAAGAGGTAACAACTCTTCTATTTGCTCAGAAAAGGCAGAATAACCAGAGGAGGTGTGCCTCAGTTCTGCCTGGGCTCTAGCTACTGCCTGATTTCCATGTACTTTGCACAATATGTCATTGTGTTGGGACAGAGGAGAATTCATATATTTTTTAGAGCACTCAAAGTTTCTTTCTGGAGATTGTTACTTTTTAGATCAAAGGATCTTTTATGTCTTGCTCACAAACACCAGTACATGAAACTGCTAATTCCTGAACACTAATGTGAAATCTTAGTTTTTAAATATCACTGTATATTAACATGTATTATCTACTCACACATAGTAATAGAGCAAGTAACCAATTAGATCTGGGTAGGCTTTTTGGCATAACTCCCCCTTCCACAGTTCTGTCACGGAGGTACAGAAAAGTGTACTACAACCCTTTGATTTGTTCTAAAATGAACACACCTTCAGACCACCACCTGCATCCAGAAATAGAAAATGAACAATCAGAGTCATTGAGAGAGAGAAATGAATAAATACAAGAAATAGAAATGGACAGCATCCCAGTAGACCTAGGCTACCCTTGGCCCTCACTCTCTATTTCCCTTGGTTTTTTTACCTTTTGGTTTTGCCAATATAAGTTTCTCGAGAGCTTTTTGTTTGGTTTTTGGTGTTTTTTGTTTTGTTTTTTTACTTTGTTTGCATTGTTGATAGTCAGCAAACAAGGAGTTTGCTGCTTGCCACCTTGAAAGAAGGGGAAAACTGTGGTTGTCTTGTCTCCAGATCTCAGTAGACATCTATTCGCTTCTCTCTCTCTCCCTCCTTTTCCCTGGGGTGCAGTATTTTCCTGTCAGGTCATTTCTTATCCTTTGGGGAAACCCAAGAGGGAGATACAGTTGGATAATTAACCTTTTTTTTTTTTTTGCAATGGAATTTCACTCGTCGCCCAGGCTAGAGTGCAATGGCGCAGTCTCGTCACTGCAACTTCCACCTCCCGGTTCAATCAATTCTCCTGCCTCAGCCTCCCAAGTAGCTGGGACTATAAGCACCCACCACCATGCCCAGCTAATTTTTGTATTTTTAGTAGAGACAGGGTTTCAGCATGTTGGCCAGACCAGTCTTGAACTCCTGACCTCAAGGGATCCACCTTCCATGGCCTCCTGAAGTGCTGGGATTACAGACATGAGCCACTGGCCTCTTCTTTAGATTAAAAACCAAACAGGAAACTTCACTTCGCCAGAAAAGAAAGGCTAAGAATGATCACCACTCTACTTAAAAAATAATAATAGTTACTGTACTTTTTTTTTCTCTTCCATACTACCTTATTCCAACTAGCAAGGGGAGTTTACAGAAGGAAGACAGAATAAAATGACTTTAAAATGTAACTTTGACACTAATTGCCATATAGTTAGGATAACTTGTTTTTCTTAATAGAGGCAAGATTTCAGAGTATTGAGATGGGAGCCAGACTGCCTGGCTTTGAACCTGGGCTCTGTACTTTCTTGCTGTGTGACCATGGGCAGCTTCTCGGTCTCTGTTTAGCTAAAATAAGAAATAAGAAAAACCTACCTATCTTCATGGAGTTGTTGTAGGATCACGTGAGTTAACATATATGACATACTTAGAACAATGTATGCCATATAATAAACCCTGTTTAAGTGTTAACTTACTAATATTATTAATGATAAGTTATTACTATCATTATTTATCCCTGAACTCCTCAAGGGCAAAGATTTTATTTTTAATTTTATATCCCTGATATGTCGCCCTGATACATAGCAAGTTCTTAATAATGTTGTCTTTTAATTTATATATGTAAGAAGGTATAATGTATATTCAGTAAAATTCACCCTTTTTAATGTACAGTTCTGCAAGTTTTGGTGAAAGAATATCATCATCTGTAACCACCACTACAAGTTATAGAGCAGCTCCATCACCTACCAGAATTCACCCATGCCCCATTTTGGTCATTTCTTCTTCCCAACTCCTGTCCTTGGCAACTGCTGATCTGTTTTTTATCTCATTAATTTTGCCTTTTCTGGAATGTCATATAAATGGAATTATATAGTATATGGCCTTCTCAGTCCGACTTCTTTCCCATCATGTAATGCCTTTGAGATTCATTTGTACTATTGCATGTGTCAGTAGTTTGTTTCGTTTCATTCCTTTTTATTGCTGAGTAGCATTTTATTGCATGGACATATTATGGTTTGTTTTTGTTTTACCCATTCACTATTTGAAGGATGTTTTTAGATTGTCTCAAGTTTTTAGCAGTTGTGAATAAAAATGCTACAGGTTGCAAACAGTTACATCGAGGTTTTTGTATGAGTGCATGTTTTCATTTCACTTGGATAAATGCTTAGGGACAGGATTGCTGGGTCATATGGTAAGTGTATATTTACTTCTGTAAGAAATTGCCAAACTGTTTCCAAAGTGCCTGTATCATTTTGCACTCCCAACAGCAACCTCTAAGAGTTTCAGCAGTTACACATCCTTACCAGCAGGGGTTGTCAGGTTGTTGTTTTGGCTATTCTAATATTATCATCTCATTTTGGTTTTAATTAGCCTTTCCCTAGGCTTTCCATGTGTTTATTTATCATCCATATACCTTCTTTGGTGAGACCTTGTTCATTCACAATCAGATGTGAAATATTAACTCTAGGTATTTTTGTAGACACCCTTTATCAAGTTAATTTTCTTCTATACCTAGTTTGCTAAGATTTTATAATAAAATCTTAGTTTTTGGTCATAGGCCTTTTCTGCATCAATTTAGATGACTATGGTTTTTTTTCTTCAGTCTGTTGATGGGCTTAATCACATTGATTCATTTTTAAAAGTTAAATACGCTTGGCTTTCTAAGTATAAATTCACTTGGTCATGATGTATTATCTTTTTTTGCATGCTGCTGGACTAGAGGTTCTGTTAATTTGTTGAGGATGTCTATATTGCATGTTAGATATTAGTCTGTAGTTTTCTTGCGATGTCTTTGTCTGGGTTTAGTATCAGGGTAATGCTGGCCTCATAGAATGAGTTGAAAGTGTTTCCTCTTGAGTTTTCTGGAGGAGTTTGTATAGAATTGGTAATATAGCCTTCTTAAATATTTAAAAGAATTCACCAGTGAAGCCATCTGGACCTGGATTTTTTTTTAAAACCTACAATGTCTTTAAATAGGATTCTCTCTTTCTTCTTGAACAAACTTTGGTAATTTGTATCTTTCATGGAATTTGTCTGCTTTATCTAGTTTTCAAATGTATTCGCATAAACCTGTTCATAATATTTCATTATTAGGCTTTTTTTTTTTTTTAAATGGAGTCTCACTTTGTCACCCAGGCTGGAGTACAATGGCACAATCTCGGCTCACTGCAGCCTCTCCTTTACGGGTTCATGTGATTCTCCTGCCACAGCCTCCTGAGTAGTTGGGACTGCAAACATGTGCCACCATGCCCACCTAATTTTTTGTATTTTTAGTAGAGATGGAGTTTCACCATGTTGGCCAGGCTGGTCTCAATCTCCTGACCTCAAATAGTCCGCCCACCTCAGCCTCCCAAAGTGCTGGGATTACAGGTGTGAGCCACCATGCCCGGCCCGTTATTATGCTTTTAAAATCTGTAGAGATGTTCCTCCCCTCATTTCTAATATTGGTAATTTGTGTCTTTTCTTTTTCCCTGATCAGTTTGATTTGGTCTATTGATATTGTCAAAGAACTAGATTTTGGTTTTATAGATTTTTCTCTATAATTTTTCTGATTCACATTTCTTTTTATTTATTTATTGAGGCAGAGTCTCACTCTGTCACCCAGGCTAAAGTGCAGTGCTGTGATCTCAGCTCCTTGGAATCTCCACCTCCTGGGTTCAAGTGATTCTCCTGCCTCAGCCTCCCAAGTTGCTCAGATTACAGGTGCCCACCACCACTCCTGGCTCATTTTTTTGTATTTTTTAGTTCAGATGGAATTTCACCATGTTTGGCCCGGATTGTCTCAAACTCCTGACCTCGTGATCCACCCGCCTCAGCCTCCCAAAGTGCTGGGATTACAGGCGTGAGCCACCACGTCCGGCCCTGTTTCATATTTCTTATGTTTTAATTTTTATTTTGTTTTATGGTTTTTTGGGTTTTTTTTTTTTTGGAGACAGCGTCTTGCTCTGTGTTGCCCAGGCTGGGCTGCAGTGGCTCACTGTAGCCTCAAACTCCTGGGCACAAGAGATCCTCCCACCTTAGGCTCCAAGGTAGCTAAGACTACAGGTGTACATCACCACACCTGAATAACTTTTTTTTTTTTTGAGATGGAGTCTCACTCCTTCATCCAGGCTGGAGTGCAGTAGAACAGTCTTGGCCCACTACCTCCATCTCCCAGGTTCAAGCAGTTCTCCTGCCTCAGCCTCCCCAGGAGCTGGGACTAACCGGCATGTGCCACCATGCCCAGCTAATTTTTGTATTTATACTAGAGACAGGGTTTCATCATATTGGTCAGGCTGGTCTTGAACTCCTGACCTCATGATCAGCCCACCTCAGCCTCCCAAAGTGCTGGGATTACAGGTGTGAGCCACCATGCTCAGCCAACACCTAATTTTTAAAAATTGTTTGTAGAAATGAAGTCTTGCTCTGTTGTCCAGGTTGATGGTCTTGAACTCTGGGCCTCAAGTGATCCTCCTGCCTTGGCCTCCCAAAGCACTGAAATTACAGATGTGAGCCATCACACTCAACTGCTTTTCTTATTTTTTATGATTCCCTTTCTTCTTGCTTTGGGTTTGTTGTATACTTCTTTTTCTAGTTTTTTTAAATGGAAGCTTAGATCATTTGAGACCTCTAATTCTGTAATATCAGCATTTCGAGTTGTAAATTTCTTTCTAAGCAGTTTCACTAATATAGTTGGAGAACATGTTTTATATGACGTGAATCCTTTAAACTTATTTAGACTTGTTTTTCAGTCCAGAATCTTACCTATCTTGGTAAAAGTTCTGTGTGCATTAAAAAAAAATTGCTGTTGGGTATGGTGCCAGTTAGCTCAAGGTGGCTGATGTTCTCAAGCCTTGCATATTGCTACCGATTTTGTCTACTTATTCTGTTGATGATTGAGAGATTACAAATATGGATTTCTGTTTCTCCTTGTAGTTCTATCAGTTTTTCCTTCATACATCTTGAAGCTCTGTTAAGTATGTAAGCATTTAGAATGATGTAGCCTCTTGATGAACTAACCCATTTATCATTGACTCTTATTCCTCTGATATTCCTGTTCTGAAATGTACTTTGTCTGTTATTAATAGCCATTTCAGCTTTCTTTTGATTAATGTTAGCATGATATACCTTTAAAAAATCCTTATACTTTTAACCTGTTTGTCTCATATTTAAAATGGGTTTCTTATAGGCAGCATATAATTAGGTCTTTTTTTTCTTTATTCTTTCTGTAATATTCTTGTTCTAAAATATACTTTGTCTGATATTAACATAGCCATTTCAGCTTTTAATGTTAGTATGGTATACCTTTAAAAAAATTTTACTTTTAACCTATTTGTCTCATATTTAAAAAATGGATTTCTTATAGGCAGCATATAATTAGGTCTTTTTTTTAATTTGGTCTGAATTTTTTGTCTTTTGGGTACTGTTAAGGCCTTTAATGAAATTATCGATATGGTTAGATTTAAACCTTCTGTCTTTTCTATTTGTGTAATCTGTTCTTTATTTCCTTCTTTTTTCTTCATTCTTTGGATTGTTAGGATTTGATTTTATTCTATCATGTGTCTCTGTGTATATACATGTGGTTCATGTAGAGTTTATAGTATGATCTTTACCTTATTACCATTTACCTTCAAGTAATAATAATATCACTTTACTTATAAGAACCTTGCAAATATGTACTTCTCCTTCTCCTGTCCTGGCCTTTATGCTATTGTTGTCATATGTTCTGCTTCTGTCTGTGTTACAATCTCCAAATACATTACTGTTACTTTTACTTTAGTTTTTTGTTTTTTTTTTTTGAGACAAAGTCTCACTCTGTCACCCAGGCCGAAGTCAGTGTTGCAATCTGAGCTCACTGCACCCTCCGCCTCCAGAGTAGCTGGGACTGCAGTCCTAAAAAATTAGCCAAGCTAATTTTTTGTATTTTTAACAGAGATGGGGTTTCACCGTCTTAGCCAGGATGGTCTTGATCTCCTGACCTCGTGATCCGCCCACCTTAGGCTTCCAAAGTGCTGGGATTACAGGCATGAGCCACCGCACCTGGGCTACTTATTTTCTAAAGCAATGTTTCTCAACTTCTATACCAATGACATTTTGAGACAGATAACTCTGTTGTTGCCTCCCAATAATTATTAGAATATTATTGAATATTCTATTGAGAATCACTGTTCTAAGATGATTTTTAAAATAAGAAAATGAGGCTAGGCGTGGTGGCTCATGCCTGTAATCCCAGCACTTTGGGAGGCTGAGGCAGGCGGATCACTCGAGATCAGGAGTATGAGACCAACCTGTCCCACATGGTGAAACCCTGTCTCTGCTAACAATACAAAAGTTAGCCGGGCATGATGGCGGGTCCCTGTAATCCCAGCTACTCGGGAGGCTGACGCAGAAGAATCACTTGAACCTGGGAGGCGGAGGTTTCAGTGAGCCGAGATCACACCACTGCTCTCCAGCCTGGGTGACAGAGTGAGACTCCGCCTCAAAAAAAAAAAATAAGGAAATGTTTCTATTGACTCACCTGGCTGTTGTCATTGTGCATCATCTTTTGTACGGGTCCAGATTTCCATTTGGTAATCTTTTCTTGTGCCTCAGGGATTTCCTTTTCCATTTCTGTAGTGTCAGCCTGCTAGTGGTAAATGTTTTTATTTGTGCAACTGGAAATGTCTTCATTTCCGAGCTGTTTGTACTGGCTTAGAAGTCTAGGTGGTTTTCTGGTTGTTTTCCATTGGTACCTTCAAAATGTTGCTCCACTGTCTCCTACAAGGTTTCCAGGGAGAAGCCTGCTGTTGGGCATGTCCTGGCTCCCCCACTCTACCTCCCACCTTTGTTCCTGGTTTCTAGCAATTTGATTGTGATATGAAGTTTTTTTGCATGTTTCTCTTGCTTACAGTTTGTTGAGCTGCTTGTATCTGTAGTTTTATAATTTTCTTCCTATTTGAAATGTTTTCAGCCATCAGTTCTTCTAAAATGTTTTCTGTCTTTCTCCTCTTTTGAAGACTCAATTCCCTGTAGTTCATTAGGCTGTTTGAAGTTATCCCACCGCTCACCAGTGTTCTGGCCTTTTTTTTCTTCTTCTTCTTCTTTCCAGTTTTTTTTGTTTGTTTCATTTGGGGCAGTTTCTGGGACACAGTTTTTTGGAAATAGTTTTATTCTTTTGAGCTTGGAGTGGAGAAAGTCTCCAAACTTCCCGCAGTTGCCAGGAACCATTGTCCTCCTCGAGCGCACTTACTGGGGACTCTGGCCACCTTGTCCTCCTTCCCCCCAGCTCCATCTCCTCAATGCACAGAGACCACAGCTTCCACTTGGGTCTTCCTCCCTGGCCTGCAGCCTGGATGCTTTCCCAAGAGGAAACTGGGCGGGCAGCAGGCTCTCTCCAGATCACTGACCTGTGCTCCTGTTGTCCATTTGGGGTTTTTTTTCCTGCCTTTAAAAAAAGTCATTTGAAGGTGGGGCATAGTGGCTCACACCTATAATTCCAGCACTTTGGGAGGCGTAGGCTGGCAGATTGCTTAAGCTCAGGATTTCAAGACCAGCCTGGCCAATATGGTGAAATTTCTTCTCTACTAAAAACACAAAAATCAGCTGGGCATCGTGGCCTACTTCTGTGGTCCTAGCTACTCAGGAGGCTCAGGTGGGAGAATCGCTTGAGCCGTAGAAGTGGAGGCTGCAGTGAGCTGAGCTCACACCACTGCACTCCAGCCTGGGTGGCAGAGGGAGACCCCGTCTCAAAAAAAATAGAAATAAGAATTTTTTAAATGAAAGTCATTTGAGGCTTTTTCTATATTTTTACATGCTTTTCATACAGGTTTGGTGCATTTTCCCTAGTGTTTTAGTTTTCTGTTTTGGTTGGATGTGGAGATTCTAATAACTGCTTATTGAATGAATCTGTAGATATGGATTCATAATCGTATTTCCCATGCCTCTTCTTCCCCTTCTGTCATTGCCATTTAAAAATAAACTCATCAGAAGAGAAGCTTGTAGGAAGGCATGTGTGAAACATAATGTGTGCTCATCCTTCTCTGCTAATCAAAATCGGCTGATAGGAATTAGCTGGAGTCAGTTTACCTGTTGTTAGTCTGTCTGGAGTCATGAAGAAAGAGACAGAACTGATTTAGGGAAACCTTAAAATAAATAAGCACTGTCCTGGGCCTGAAGTGGGAAAATGAGCGGACTCAGCACACAAGCACGGTTGCCTTGCAGGTTGTGTGTCGCAGCCCTGTCGGTGAATAACTTCTGTGACAACCGCGAAGCCCTGTACGGTGTGTTTGATGGAGACCGGAACGTCGAGGTGCCCTACCTTCTCCAGTGCACCATGAGTGACATTTTGGCTGAAGAGCTGCAAAAAACAAAAAATGAAGAAGAATACATGGTCAATACATTCATTGTCATGCAAAGGTAAAACTCAGAGTTCCTGCTTACCTGCTGTGTGTTTTCTTGCTCTTTAAGTATTTATCTTCTGTTTAGAAAAGCGGGTGCGCAGTGATCTCCAAGCCTTGTTTTTTGACTGTGAGTACCAAGATGCATTTAGGCAAGTTTGGTGTTGCCCAGGCGTTAGGAATGGTGCTCCAGCTTGAGACCCACTGTTGTTCAGACAATGACAGGGAGTGAGTTTCTCTGGGAGCTGGACCTCCCTGGCCTGTATCGATTGCAGATTTTCATCAGATTGTTTGCAATACCGTTTCTCCTCCCAAATCATGTGAGCTCTAGAGGCTTTTTAGACTTTCTGCTGTGGGGACCTCTCTTTGAAATGGACCATTTCCATCCTAGTTGATTGGCCCTTATGAAATATTATCACTGGTTTGAGATAGTGCAAACTTTCGTGAAATCAAGATTGTCAGATTTTAGACCAGGAGTTAAATCATTCTCTGTATATTGTTTTCCCCTTTATTAAACGTTCAAGACAGTGTTACTGGCAGAATCCTAGGCCATAGCCTGGAGTTTCCACCAGCAGCAGAGTTTTAGGTTGCTGTAGAAATTGTGGAATATTGTTTGTAGCTCTTAGAGGAATGAGGGTTTCCTCATTCAAAGAATTGTTCATTCTTATCACCTTCATGGCTTTCTAGGCAATAATGGAATTGCCTGTCTATAAGTATTGTACTGCAGACTCGCTCATGTGGGACCCAGGAGTGATGAGTGTACTGCTACTTGAAGTCGTGAGAGCAGCCATGGTTTTTTGTCCTTCTCTGCTTTCTCTCCCTTGACATTCTGCCAGAGCGAGTAGCTTTGTTGGAGGGGTAGAAGTGTCTGCTGGGGAGTGGTCAGAGCAGCCTTTACAGTTATACCTGCGTCTCGCATGGTTCCTCTCAGAGAGCTTGGGGGAGGCAGGCCTGGGGTGGTTCTTGCTGCTACACTCGTCCCTGTCTTTCAGATTCTCAGTGAGCATGTATAATTCGCAATTGAACAATAATAGCTAATATCTAGCAAGCCCTTAATATGTATCAGTCTTTGTTCTAAATACCTTAAGTGTCATAAATTGTTACTAGTTAGCCAGGTAAAGTTACTGAAAGTGAGGTACAGAGAGGTGAAGCGCCGTGCCTAAGGGATAGTAGGTAGAGCAGCCAAGACCTGACCTCGGGTAGTAAGACTCCAGAGGATGTTGTGACTAGCAGGCACACCAGCTTTCTTGTTTTCACTACTCTTTTGTCCTCAAAAAACAGCACGCACGTATCACATGCATGCACACACATACACATGTGCACACACACCACAGCACAAACACATCTCTCTGCAACCCCCAAGAGGCCTGCTTTTTATGGACCATCAAGCACTGGATAAGAATTAAAAACCGAGAACCCCAGTCTCAGATTACTTGCTGTACGTTTTACGAACCACTGTGCCTACGAAAGGGAGAAAGTAGAGCCTCCTTGGAAGGGCCGAGAGCCACGTATCTGGAAGCTGGAGTTTAGGATCCTAAACTGTGGGCCCTTCTCCAGGGTCTTTTGTATGTCTCTTATTTTGCCTGTCTGTTAAGAGGGCATGGGATGTGTGGTGAGCTTTTGGTCCTTAGGGGAACTGGTCTTTGTGCAGGATCTCCTAATGCATGCAAGCAGGCAGCCCTGGTTTCCATTGCTCCTCTTGCCGCTTGCTTACCTTAGACACATGATAGAAGAGACGGTACCTGAGGGTCTGCCCTTGTAAAACAGGGGAGGCTATGTTTCTTAACTTTCTTGCTCCTGTACCATCCAGGAACAGCAGGGGCCTGGGCCATGTTACCATTTGTGGGGCTTGCCCTAGGAGTTCTTGAGGCCATGGGAGCCATCATAGTCTTTTATCTCTCTCTGCTGTTTCTCTCCCTTGATAATCTGCCAGAAGAAGTAGCTTTGTAAGAGAGCTTTTTGATTTTTGATTTTCAGAATTTGCAGGTGCTTTCTGTATTCAGAAAGTCTGTGGATTGTCATGATTAAAAGGATAAATCAGAAGCACTTGGTGTTTGATCACTAGAATGTCCTTTCTATGAGTTTTCTAGAATAGATGGTATTGGTCCAGAAAGTCTTTGCTATATAGGGCAGGACCATGAACACTCCAGTACTTAAAGGCTCCTACCAGCAAACATCCATATAAAAGGGGAGGAGGGTTGTCAGGTTTTTCTGAAGTGTCTGTCAGTGGGTATAGGGTGTCTATACCTGCTGTACTTGGTTTTTTCAATGTTCTCTCCTAGACACAGAGGGAATTTAGAGAAGCAGATGGAGGAAGAAGTCATTTTCCTGCTGTCTTTGGAGTGCGCTGATCGGGCAGTGTGGTTGATGAGGGTAGCATGCTGTACACAGCAGCCGAGGGGCTCCTGCCTTCCAGAGCAGCGCCTGTGGCTTTTACTGGTACAGCGACACCGTCTCCCAGTTGTGAGCCTCTCTGTGTGGACGTGTGTGATGTCAGATTCAGGGGCTCTTTTCCTCAGAGAGGCTGAGCAGTGTGTGCTTTGATGAAGGAAGCGGAGTGGACTCTCCAGCTGTCGTCTTCCTGGCCCTGTCCAGTGGTGCGGTCTTCCTGTGGAATTGGTGGAACTGGCTCTGATGGGCTGTGTTTGTCACCCTCTCTCTTCCGATTCCAGGAAACTTGGAACTGCTGGGCAGAAACTCGGCGGTGCTGCTGTCCTTTGTCATATCAAGCATGACCCTGTGGACCCAGGAGGATCCTTCACCTTGACCTCTGCTAATGTGGGCAAGTGCCAAACAGTTCTCTGTCGAAATGGAAAGCCACTGCCTCTGTCCAGATCTTACGTCATGAGCTGTGAAGAAGAGCTGAAGAGGATTAAACAGCACAAGGCCATTATCACTGAGGTGAGGAGGGAGGGGTTTTCCCCAGGATGGTGGAGAGGAGAGGAGACCAGGTCATAGCAGAAACTAGCTAAGGAGCATTTGCCTTCAAAGAACGTTTTTGAAGTAGGTGGTTCAACATTAGAATTCCAAATCCATAGTATCACAAAGCGAATTGCTTACATTACGACGTCTGGTTCTCAGTTGCCTCCCTGTGTCAGGCACTGTGCTTCGTGGGCACGACCCCATTCCATCCGTGCAGCCACTCTGCAAAGGGCTGCTTCGGTGGTTGAGGGCTCTACCCAACATCACACTGCTCGTTTTCATATCTTAGCTCTGCCACTTGCAGGCTCTGACCTTTAAACCTCTCTCAGCCTCATATATCTATCCTATCTGACAAGGCTGCTATGACTTGTAAACCATGAATGTCTATGTAACTACAGTGAGCATTTCTCAGCTGGGGGCAGTTTGCTTCCCCACAAAACATTTGTCAACATAGGGAGACATTTTGGTCATCACAGCTGGGGCGGAGAGTGCGCTTGGCATGCCGTGGACGGAGGCCACTGAGCAGCTGCTGCTAAAACACCCCGCAGGGCAGTCCCCACAGCAGATGGGTGTGTGTGTGTGTTTGGAGGGCGTGTCTCAGGTAGAGAAGTAAAATGCAATACAGAACAAAACCGCACTGTTAAGTGTTAAGCAATGCACACAAAAGCAAGGAACAGGAGAAGCACAGAAAACAAGAGAAGTCTGACGTGCAAACTATGATTCATTTAGGTCACAGAAATCATTTTCCTTAATTGTGTTTGGCATAATGTTGATCTGAAGTTTAATTCAGTGCATTGTCTTCTGCTCCCTAACACAGTGTCTGCCGTCCATGTTAATCCTTTCTGCTCCAAGAATAGACAGAGAACAAATTCACACACACTTATTTGCACAGAATCCCATGTATAGCTTGAGTCTGTTTCTTTCTTATGGCCCTCATCAGAGACTGTGTGGAATCAGTCTTTTTTCTCTAAAACTTTCACCAGAGTCAAACTGTACATGATTCTGTGGGTTTTATCAACAATGTAAGACTTGAAACTTCTTGAAGGTAGATGTATATCTGCACGTCACTGCTGTCTGCCCACGTCATTTTTTTCAGGCACAGGGCACATGACCGACACTGATGAATTAGGGAATGCAGCAGCACTCCTGGAGCCCATGTTGGAAGCTTCACTGTCATGAGTCACAAAACTATTGGTTTTGATGGAGAGAAATCTAAAGGCCTGGGCAGAACAGCAAGAACAGTTTCTGCGAAATTCCATGCTTCGGGGACAGATTATGTCCGTAGGATCAAGGCAGTTTAAAGTTGTCCTCGAAGCTCATACTACTAATTTTATAAATGGGAATGCTTACCTACTTAAAAGTGTGGGGTAGCAAAGTTATGTGAGGAGCTGGGAAAGGCATCCCTAAGGACAAGCAAACACCTTGGCAAATCCCAAATAAAGGAAGGTGGTAGGGCTGGAACGGAAGTGGATGTTCTCCGGAAGAAACACTTGGTCATCCCAGACAGGGATTTGTCAAAATGGAGCCGCCTTTCCTGGAAAGAGGTGTTAAAACTAGGCCATATAGAGGTATGTCACGGACCTGAGAATCTCAAAACTTGAAGAATAAAGAATCAAGTGGGTACACATGGGAAAGGGAGGGAGGAAAAGAAGGAAGGAGAAGAAAGGAAGGAAGGAAAGGGAAAGAAGGGAAGGAAGGGAAGGGAAGGAAGGAAGGAACCAGGTTTGGCGCTTTGGTAACTGATTTCATAGCATGCACCCAGCTAAACTAAAGCCAGCAGACCCTGCCTTTGCCACTGACCACCAGGAAATCAAGTTCAAGGAAGTTGTAAGAACTGGCGTTTCCTTTAGCATCTGCTCTCCTGACGTGAGCATTCTTACCCACCTAGTCACACCAAGGCTTTCTCCACCCCTTAAGTACTTTCAAGTCTTCTCTGGACCTTTAGACACTACTGCCACTTGTGATCATGGAGAGCAACGGAAGATTTGGGGGCACTGTCTTGATGTATGCTGGCCTTGTGCGTCTTTGCTCAGGACTGGCTTCTATCAGAAAGGCTCTTCCTATCTGAGTCCTGTGGGCTGACGGGAGGAGCTAGCCAGCCATGCTTACTGTAGAGAAACAGCAGGGCCTGTGGACCTAGTGCCAACAGGGTCCCAGTAACACATAACCGAAATCTTTTCCTTTTGTCTCTGCTGCTCCTTACCTGCCTAGGCCTCCTACCTGGGGTTTCTGATGACAGGTGCACATTAACTACTCACTTTCCTCTGTAGGCCACACAGCACTTCTCTGTGGTCTGACAGTCGGGACAGTCAGGGACCTGCAGGGAACCTGCACAGTTGCCGCAGGTGCTCCGTATAACTCTCTGTCTGCAAACCCTTGTTCTTCCAGGATGGCAAGGTGAACGGAGTGACTGAGTCCACGCGTATCCTGGGCTACACCTTCCTCCACCCCAGCGTGGTGCCTCGCCCCCACGTGCAGTCCGTGCTCCTGACCCCCCAGGATGAGTTCTTCATCCTGGGCAGTAAAGGGCTGTGGGACAGCCTGTCTGTCGAGGAGGCCGTGGAGGCCGTGCGCAACGTGCCCGACGCCCTGGCTGCTGCCAAGAAGCTGTGCACCCTGGCCCAGAGCTACGGCTGCCACGACAGCCTCAGCGCTGTGGTGGTGCAGCTCAGCGTCACCGAGGACAGCTTCTGCTGCTGCGAGCTCAGCGCCGGTGGGGCCGTGCCACCACCCAGCCCCGGCATCTTCCCTTCCTCGGTGAACATGGTGATCAAGGATCGGCCCTCAGATGGGCTGGGTGTGCCGTCCTCCAGCAGCGGCATGGCTTCTGAGATCAGTAGTGAGCTCTCCACTTCCGAGATGAGCAGCGAGGTGGGGTCCACGGCCTCCGACGAGCCCCCGCCTGGAGCCCTGAGCGAGAACAGCCCCGCCTACCCCAGTGAGCAGCGCTGCATGCTCCACCCCGTCTGTCTGTCCAACTCCTTCCAGCGCCAGCTGTCCAGTGCCACATTCTCAAGCGCCTTCTCTGACAACGGCCTTGACAGTGACGATGAGGAGCCCATCGAGGGTGTCTTCACCAACGGCAGCCGGGTAGAGGTGGAGGTGGACATTCACTGCAGCCGGGCCAAGGAGAAAGAGAAGCAGCACCTGCTTCAGGTGCCGGCCGAGGCCAGCGACGAGGGCATCGTCATCAGCGCCAACGAGGATGAGCCGGGTCTGCCCAGGAAGGCAGACTTCTCTGCCATTGGGACCATCGGGCGCCGGAGGGCCAATGGCTCTGTTGCGCCCCAGGAAAGGAGCCACAACGTGATAGAGGTGGCTACAGACGCCCCTCTTCGAAAGCCTGGAGGCTATTTTGCTGCCCCGGCTCAGCCGGATCCCGATGATCAGTTTATCATACCCCCAGAGCTGGAAGAGGAGGTCAAAGAAATCATGAAGCATCACCAGGAGCAGCAGCAGCCCCCGCCGCCGCCACCGCTCCAGCCACAGCTGCCGCGGCACTACCAGCTGGACCAGCTGCCAGACTATTACGACACGCCGCTATGACCCAGCCGAGCTATTTAACAAATAAACGAACCACGAAAGACGAGTTGCGAGAGTCTCCCAGGCTCACATTAAACCAGGGGTTTTACTCCACGTCCTTCCCCCAGACACTGTTCCCAACCTGTCATTGCAGCTAATCTGTAGGTTCTCTTTCTTTGGGTTATTTTTTTTTTAAATAATCACCACTTCTAGTGATGCTTTACCAATACGATTTACATTTGTTAACTTCTCCTAACATATCAGATATGTAAAGACAAAGAACAAAAGGTTTAATATATTACAGAGAAACAGTTAATGATAATGTAATATTTTTTAAAATGGCTTTTTTGTTTGGAAGGCAGGACAGGCTGCCATTGCTAAATGATTTAATAATATTGTAATTCTGTATTTCTTTGGGGGGGAAAGGCTTTTTTTTTTTTTTGTCTTGAAAATAATAGACATTTGTAGAATATGGAGACTAACTCCTAGGAGTTGCTTTACTCTGTCAGGTGACTTAAGTCACTGGGATTCACTAATTTTCTCTGAGAGAACAGCTGATTGAGAATTTCTATTGTAAATAGCTCAGTGTTGTATAGTGAGGCTTACAATGTTTTGTAGTCTTGGCGTAAGGACACAGCCCAAGTAACTGATGTTTCTCCTCCCCCACCCCACCCCAGGAGCCTGCCTGCCTCACAGCTCACCCTCACTTCACTGAATGAGGAAGCTGAGCAGGCTGCAGCGTTTCTGTCTAGGGAAAGTGGATCTTAGGCCACTGGACAAGAACCTACACCCAAGGGCCCTGAACCCATTTCCTCCCGGTCCCAGCCCCTCCACTTTGACTGACAGACACTTGTTAACTGTGTTCTTACTGCTGCCACAATCAGCATGGCTGTATAGTGCTCCATTAGGCCATTTACATACCAGAGTCATACTCAAGCAGAATGCACAAATGGACATGTCATAATTTTTGTTATAATAAATATGAGATTTACAATTATTGGACCTGTCTGCTTTTGTCTCAGTAGCCGGATGTGTTTATTATTATTTTTTATTTATTTTAGGTCAGTCTCCATAGAGACTGTAAAAAATTGCCAATGCCAACTATGTTGCAAGTTGTCACAGCAGGGTATTGGGAAAAGTTTTCAATTATTAGCAATAATCGTGCCTCGGATAAACCTCATTGACTACGATACTGCTACTGCACAGAGCTAGCCAGATGTGTCTTGAAGACAATCACACCAGCTTGGGTTTGGAAAGGAGGGATGGAATATTGGGGTTATATTTTTTTTAAGAGAAAAACATCCAGTAAGTTAACCTACATTGAAAGAAATATGAAATTAACTGAATAGCAAGCAATATAATTAGCTGATCTTACAGGTTTTTCTTTTTTTTTTTTCTTTTTTGAAATGGAGTCTCGCTCTGTCTCTTAGCACAGTCCAGCCACAGAGGCCCAGGCTGGAGTGTGGTGGTGTGAGCTCTGCCCACTGCAACCTCCTCCTCCCGGGTTCAAGTGATTCTCCTGCCTCAGCCTCCTGAATAGCTGGGATTACAGGCACCCGACACCAGCTAATTTTTGTATTTTTAGTAAAGACGGGATTTCATCATGCTGGCCAGGCTGGTCTCATACTCCTAACCTCAAGTGATCTGCCCATCTCGGCCTCCCAAAATGTGGGGATTACAGGCATGAGCCACCATGCCAGGTCTGATCTTACAGCTTTTCTGTTTCTTATTAGGGTAAGATGTTCAGGTAAGATGTTCGGGTACTTCTTAGGGAAGACATGAGAAGGGGAATAGACAGGTTGCATAGATAGAGATCTCTGGACAACTTGTCCCACGAAGCAAAGTTTGTTTTCAGTTTTCCCGGAGGCCTGTAGCTCACATAAGCAGGTTTACCTGCTTGAACAGGGTCAATCAAGAGCTGTTTGCTTGCCCCCCAGCACTAGCAGGAATCATGTAGGTGCAGCAGTGTTTTCCCAGCTGCGTCTCAACTGCATTTGCAGACCGTGGACCTCTGCCCTCGCCTCGCCCCCACCCCACGCTTGTGGTCCGTGTGTGTGGAAGATACTGTTGGTCTTCATCTCACATGAACCACCTTCCTATGTAACCTGGCTTCCCTCTTCAGGTCCGCCCTTGGGTGGGACCTGGCTAGTTCAGGGACAGGACACTTCGTATTTCTTAACCAGTAGACTCAGTGGTGGGCTCTGCGTCCCCTTCAGGAGGCTGCTGGGTGGGCTTTACTTTCATAATGGCCATACTTTGTTTCCACGGCATGCTACTTGCACACGGTGCTCTTTGGAAACCACCAAGGCCATGGAAAAGAATTGCCTCCTCTCAGCCCAGTCAGGAACCCAGGGACCAAGGGGGCTGACTCCCCAGTACAGGCAGAGCACTCTGCCTGAGGCTGGAAGCTAAACCGCCTTGGGACCCCTGTCCCGTTCCACTCGTCAGCCCCTTGCTTTCTCCCTCAGGCTGCCCCACTGGGTTGAAGCAGATGTGAACAACTCCAAGCTTTCACACCAACGTCTTAGTTCCTGCGGGTCTGGGCTGGGTCTCTGACTTCCTCAGTTCTTAAATCCCCCTCTGGGCAGGATTCACTTGTCCCCATGGGTGGAACAGACCCAAGCCGTGTGTGTGGATCTCTTCCACTAAAGCTCACTTCTAGAGTGGTCAGAACCAGCTGAGCATGGTCCACAGAGGCAGCAATCGCTTCTAGATTCTAAAAGCCCCACAGCAACTCTGTGCCAGGGGCAGCCACTGGGACCCACAAGCTCTGATGCGCGGACATCTCATTTCCTAGCTTCAGTGTCTGATGCGGGAGAAAGGGGTTCAAGACTTGGAATTCCTTTTTCCTGAGTCCTCAAGTTCAGCTGTGCTTGCTGCTGGGTTTCCCTCGGTCCCATTGTGCAACATATATGTAAGGTACCTTGGAGACACAGGTGAGACTCTGCCCTTTGGAGGCTTGTGGTAAGTGGGGCATTTATATGAAAAGGTAACTCAGTCACGCACATGTTGAGTGAGCAAAGTGGCACACTCACTGATAGGTCTCCATGCTCTTGCCGCCTCTGTTAATTCTGAGGAGTTTCTCTGCATTTCTGTTTATCAAGATAGCGTCTAATCGCATATGTAGAGCTGCTTATGCAACTGAAAGTGCTTTCTGAGTGGCCAAGTGCTTAATATTTGAGGACCACTGAAGCCACAGTGTCTGCAGGTTAAGTATTAGGGAGAAGGGCATCCCTGCCCGCTCTATTCTCTGCTTCCTGCTGGGAATTTCAGATAATGGGAAAGGGGTTTGCAGGGAGAGAGAGGAAGAAACGAAAGCAGAAGCAGAGAGCTCTGGTGAGCCTTGCTGGAAGAGCCCCGGATTGAGGACCCTAGAAACTGGTGCTGGATGCACTGCATGCCTCTGTCCTGTGCTGCCCTCAAGCTTGCTGCCATTCGCTCCCACTCCCGAATACTAGGCTTTGATGAGAGGTAGCAGGGCTAATCTCTGGGGCCCAGAAACCCCACCGGCCTGCCTTGGTTTCTCTTGATTGCTTTTGTCACAGCACCACCTGCTGGTAAGCTTAGACTTTGGGTAGAAACGGGCTTCACTCTACCCTTTCTTCACTTTCCCAGAAGAAACAAAGTTTAAGTTTCTTATCACTGTATTTTCCTAAACACATGATAGCAACCTCCTACACCACTGTCAAGTACGGCAGAGAAGCTGTTTCTGCTTTGTAAGGCAATAGAAGTGATGACAGCTGGCTCCTGTGATGAGCCTGATTTCCATGGGAAATTGACGTGCAGAAATATTAAGATGCATAACCAGAATCATATAGTTTTGCTGGGAGAGAAGTCTGTTTTCAACGTCCATCCAATTCCCAATTCCCCATTCTCCATGGTTAAAAAAAGCGAAACACAAAGCATCGGTTAACATGTTTTGGACCTTATAGGATAACACCTGAGAGTCCCCTCACCACTGGTACTGCATGGGAGAGAATAATAATTCCATTTGATCATCTGAACACTCATCAAAGGATATATTGAATCAATGCCTGACACGTTACCAGAAGATAGATTTTCAGGTCGGGTGCAGCGGCTCATGCCTGTAATCCCAGCACTTTGGGAGGCCAAGGTGAGTGAATCACCTGAGATCAAGAGTTGGAGACCAGCCTGGCCAACACACTGAAACCCTGTCTCTATGAAAAATACAAAAATTAGTCAGGTGTGGTGGTGCACACCTGTAATCCCAGCTACTCAGGAGGCTGAGGCAGGAGAATTGCTTGAACACAGGAGGCAGAGGTTGTGGTGAGCCGAGATCGCGCCATTGCACTCCAGCCTGGGTAACAAGAGAGAAAAAAAAAAAAAAAAAAAAAAAAAAAAAAAAAAAAGAACAAAAGTCACAGGCAGGGTGTGATCCTGACACAGACGCCATGTGAGGTGTGTGCAGGACACTGGGAGCTGGGATCAATACCGCCGACTGCTGTTTTCCATTCCCTTGATGGTGTATCTGCTTTTTTTCTTTCTTTCTTCCTTCCTTCCTTCCTTCCTTCCTCACTCCCTCCCTTTCTCTCTTTCTTTCTTCCTTCCTTCTTTCCTTTCTTCCTTCCTTCGTTTCTTTCTTTCTTTCTTTCTCTTTCTTTCTTTCTTTTCCTTCTTTCTCTTTCCTTCCTTCCTTCCTTTCTTTTTTTCTCTCTCTTTCTTCCTTCCTTCCTTCCCTCCTTCCTTCCTTCCTTCTTTCTTCTTTCTTTCCTTCTTTCTTTCTGTCTTTCTTTCTTCATTCCTTCTTTCTTTCTTCTTTCTTTCTCTTTCTTTCCGTCTTCTTTCCGTTTCTTCCTTCCTTCCTTCCTTATTTCTTCTTTCTTTCTCTTTCTTTCTGTTTATCTTTCTTTCTTTCTTTCCTCTTTCTTCCTTCCTTCCTTCTTTCCTTCCTTCCTTCCTTCCTTCTTTCCTTCCTTCCTTCCTTCCTTCCTTCTTTCCTTCCTTCCTTCCTTTCTTTCTTTCCTTCTTTCTTTCTTTCTTTCTTCTTTCTTTCTTTCTCTTCTTAAGACAGGGTTTCACCATGTTGGTCAGGCTGGTCTTGAACACCCGACATCAGGTGATCCACCCACCTTGGCCTCCAAAGTGTTTGGATTACAGGCGTGAGCCACCACGCCCGGCCTCTTCCTTCCTTCCTTCCTTCCTTTTTTCTTTCTTTCTTTCTTTCCTTCCTTCCTTCCTTCCTTCCTTTTTTCTTTCTTTCTTTCTTTCCTTCCTTCCTTCCTTCCTTCCTTCCTTTCCTTCCTTCCTTCCTTCCTTCCTTCCTTCCTTTCCTTCCTTCCTTCCTTCCTTCCTTCCTTTCTTTCTTTCTTTCCTTCCTTCCTTCCTTCCTNAAAAAAAAAAAAAAGAATTTCTATAAAATGTGGGTTTCTGGTATCTGCCTTACCTACCTCTCAAGCAATCAAATCAGGTCATGTATTTGAAGTAATTTAAGTACTAAAGCCTTATTTAACTGTAGCTGTTGTCATTGTTACAAATGAGGAACTCAGGGGGGTCTGAAAGTTTAAATAATGGGGAATGCAGCAAAAGCACCTTTCTAAGCTGGGAATGGTACTGTGGGGCCTGGAGTTAGTCCCAGCTACTCAGGAGGCTGAGGCCAGGGGATCACTTGAGCCCACGAAAGGCCAGCCTGGGCAACATAGCAAGACCCCGTCTCTAAAAAAGAAGAAGAAAGAAAAAAGTACCTTTTTAAAAATGGGAAACTCTTAGTCACTTATGAAAATTGTCATAGAAGGAAAAGCACTGGTGATGATAGAGAAAATGGGCTTCTTTCATTTGTTGCCATTTCATTTTCCTCTCAATGCACCCCCTAACTCATGCTGTGCAAATTAGTCTATGGAAATTCTTATTTCACTCTTGTCATTTATCTGTCATGAGCTGATTCCTATCACTATGTATTTGAAAGACGGCTCTACAGTGGGTTTTCCTTTTCCTAAACATGACCCCTCTCACCACGAAAATTACAGCAAAGCTCAGACT